TGACGTTCGAGTGCTGCTCAGAGCGGTGCCGCCAGGGTGCTAGACACAGCGGGGGCCTGGCGGCATGCGGGGCGAAGCTATGAATAAAATTCTGCTGCTACGAAGTCTTCGGCCTCATAGTCATCGAAAGGCTCGGGGTCGGAAGTCTGCGCTGGCAAACCAGGGCCTGACTCCGAGCCTGGCTCGCTGGGTGGGGCGCGGGGCATGGCAGAGGTCGCTGTCGCTGGGACAGCGCTCGAGGCTGGCAGAAAACCTCCACTCACAAATCTGACGGGCTCTAGAGGTTGTCGCTGGTCGTCTCCAGCCAGTGGCCCACTTCGTCCCCGAGCCAGCCTGCAGGGGCTACCCCTTTGTGGTGGGTCGCGACTGCCTCTGTCTTCAGCGCCCTCTGGATGAGAGCGCGCCCCTCCCAGCTGGGAGCGCCCACGATGACCTTCATCTTCTGCCTGTCGTAGGAGCTCTCCAGGCGAATGAAACTGACGACGACCTCCAGGTCCGATTTGTCGATGTCGGGCTCCGCCTCCGCGTCCTCGGGGGAGCACTTGTGAAGGTAGGTCCGTATCTCGTTCTGGATGCCGCCACCAATGTCGCACTCCATGAGGCCCTCCAGGGCTGCCAGCGCCAGGCTGGCTGCGGGGGAGCCGATCTGTTTCATCCTCGCCTTGCCCTCCGCGCCTTGCGACCGCAGGGAGTCGAGTAGGCCTTGTACCCCTCCAGCTCGGCGCTGATGTGGCTGATCATCGCGTGCTTGGACGGCATCGTGTAGGTGTCGATCGCGACTGAGGAGTGAGTACCACGATGATGATGATGGTGATGATGACGATGATGACGATGATGGTGTTGATGATGGTGTTGATGATGATGATGATGATGATGATGCTGAGACTGAGACTTAGACTGATACTGATGATGATGGTGGTGGTGATGATGATGGGAGGAGGAGGGAGAGGACGAGAGGAACGACGATGATGACTACGACTCTAAGTATGTTTGTAATTATGATTATGATGATGAGTATGATGATAATGACGATGACCATGATGCTGACGCGGATAAAAATGACCATGATGATAATGATGGTGGTGGTGATGCTGTTGATGGTGATGGTGATGATGATGATGCTGCTGATGATGATGATGCTGATGATGATGCTGATGATGATGCTGATGATGATGATGAGGATGATGATGATGATGATGATGATGATGATGATGATGATGATGATGATGGTGGTGGTGACGGTGCTGATTATGATGCTGATGCTGATGCTGATCCTGATGCTGATGATGATGGAGGGAGGAGGAGGGGGGACGAGGAAGGAAGGAAGGAAAGAAGGAAGGAGTGACGCGGGGCGCTGTCTCTGCAAACCGAGGACTCAACATCCCAGTACGGTTGGGAAAGATGCGCTGCAGCCCAAACCTGGCGCAGACGATATGCAAGGCACCTCCAGAGCCGCGAGTGGCTCCAAAACCCAGCCCAGCCGAACTCGGGCACTAAAGGATCCTGCAGACTCTGGCGTGCTGGCTGAGTCCCGTTTGAGCTAAACCCTGCCACGTGAGCGACGGAGAAAAACGGGTCTTACGCGAGATCGCATAGCGACCTTACGCGGTGGCTTACGCGGGGCCGCCAGCGCGGCAAACCACATTCGAAGCGAGGGCACTTACGCGCGACCATGCGCGGGCAGCTTACGCGCCAATGTCGGCGCAAACGACCACGTTTCCACCGTCGCTCACGTTCGGCTACACGTAGGAGTGAACCTGGGCAAGAGTGACCCCGGCTACGTCAGGCTCGTGTCGCGCCGACTTCGGCGTTGGTTCCTGACACCGAGGGGATCGTTCAACCTTGAACGATCGGCCGTTTCCGAAACGTCCAAATCGTTCCACATCGAACGATTCTGGGTCGCCCGCCGCGTTCAACGTTGAACGCCGCTGGCGGGGTCGCCGCCGGTCGACACGACATGAACCTACCTTACACTCAGGGAATGATGACCCTGGGCAGGAGTGACACAGATGTGGTGCGCGGCTCTCCGATTGTTGCACGCGGGGTGCGACAATGGACGGACTGTGCACCTTGGCATTGCCCCCCCGACGCCCCCCCCCCCCGCCTCGCACCAGAGGTCACTCTGGCGAAGGGTCACTCTGAGGAGGCCCAGGGACACACAAACAAATGCACACAAAGCCCAGGATTCCCCATGTGTTTCCGTACTTTCTGGAGTTTCGTCTCCCCCCCCACTTCACTTATCTTCGCACACCTCCATGGGAATCGACGATTCATGGTGTCCTTGTGTGTATTCTCCCTCCTGGCACTCTTACGCTGCAGGGGCAAGTCACGGCATAATCCGAATGTGTCCCACAGGCTCGCGCAGACTTCTTGGATCGGCGCGGGCCCCCTTCGCCCCGGGGAGGTGCCGCCGGAGGGGCCAGCGCAGATGCAAGAAATCCGGGCGGACCTCCGAGTGATTATGCTTATGCCGTTCTTGGTTCTTCCAGGCAGCCCACACGTGCACCCCGACCTTCGCCGCCGAGGCCTGGGGCGAACGCCGCATCGTCGATGCATCACCGACGCATCGGCGATGCATCGGCGCCGTCGGCGCGGAGGACATCGGAATCCACATCGAGCATCGCCGATGCAGCTCCTCCTCCTCCTCCTCCTCCTCCTCCTCCTCCTCCTCCTCCACCTCCTCTCCTCCTCCTCCTCCTCTCCTCCCTCCTCCTCCTCCTCCTCCCTCCTCCTCCTCCTCCTCCTCCACCTCCCCCTCCCCCTCCTCCCAAAGACAGTGGGCCTTCGGGGAGGCCCCCCTCGCCACGGCCAGGGTGCGGCCCGGAGAGGTGGGAGCCGCTCGGACCCCGGGAGGGCTCCGGGGACCCGACTTTTTCGGGTCGGGCGAAAGGGGGGGATAGCAAAGGGGGGGTTTGAGAATCAGCTCACGTAGCTGACTTTCCCGGCGCCTCCCGGCGCCGGAAGGCGGCCATGTATCGAGGAATGGGCCCCTCGGCGAGGCCGAAAACCAGCTGCATGCGGCACATTTCGTAACCCCCCCTTTCCCAATCCCCCCCTTTCGCCCGGCCCGAGACTTGGAGGTACCATCGTCTCAGTTCGAGGCCTCGGCGGCGCAGGCCGCAGAAGCAGAAGAAAAGGCAACGGCAGAAACATGAGCTTTCGGCGCTCCGCGCGGATCTCTTGCATCTGCGCTGGAGCCGATCGGAGCGGGGCGAGCGGAGACGACGGCAGCCGACGGCGCTGGTGCGTCGCAGATGTGTCGCCGATGCGGCGGCGATGCGGCTCGAGGTGGAGCCCGATGTTCCCAACGCCGACGGCGCCGACGCGTCACCGACGTCGCCGCTGCATCGCCGATGTATTGGCGATTTCTCTTCTGCGACCTTGGCCGCCGAGGCCTCGAACGCAGCTGAGACGACGGCAGCTCCAAGTCGGTCGCCGGAGCCCTCCAGGGGTCCCAGCGCACCAGCTCTCCGAGCTGCGCCCAGCCGTGGCGAGGAGGGGGGCCTTCTCAAAGGCCCACTGTCGTTGGGAGGCCCCGACCCGACGTCGCCGATGCATCGGCGATGCTTCTTCTGCGATCTTCGTCGCCGAGACGTGTTCCATCTGCGGCCCCAAGGAGGTCCAGACCCCTTTCCCCCAGGGGTGGTTTTTCGTTCCGGATCCATGTTTGATGACCCTCGGGCCCGACAACGGGCCCCGGAGGCCGAAACCCAGGAGAAACCGCCGGATTGAACAAAAAAACGCATCCTCGGATCTCTGGGGATCGGGGGGGGAGCCTCCAGGAGACCTACTGCTTGGGAATTCTTAGGTTCAGGTCGCCTACAGGCGGGTTTCGAAAGAAGAACAAAACATTGTCAAACAAGCTGGAAATATTCAAAAGAGCACGGACAATCGTCACCATATTTTTGTCCTATGACTCTTAGACACTCCTCCTGTAGAGGGACATGCTCGATTTAACCTTAGGAGGCCTCGAACGACCGCCCGAAACCTTGACGCGAGCTCCCGCTGCAAGCATCCCACAAGACCGGACCGTCAAAAGCCAGGACGCGCTCGCCAGAAGGCGTCTGCAAACCCGAGTTCCGGCGTACTCGAGTCTTACGCTTCCCCGATACTGCCTGGGAGTTCTCAAGGAGAAGACCCTCTGGGAAGGCGGCGGGGCTTCCCAGAAACCCTTGGGCCTTCTGAAAAGTTGTTGTATCTTCAGGGGGAGAACCCAGGAAACTTCTCAGAAGGTCAGGGGGGCCTCCGAGCCTTCTGAGAAGGCCTTCTCCTCTTCACTTCCCCCTGGGCTCGCCACCGACTCAGACCCCCGACGTCATGAATGTTTCGTGGCGTGGACCCCCAACGGTCTGGACCCATTCCACCGGACCGATTATTCGTCCCGAATCGTTTTTGGACGGCCCCCTGACCCCGCGAGGGCCCCCAGAGACCGAACATAGCGACCAACTCCCCGTTGCGATTTTCTCCAGACCCGCGGGGGTCTGGGGATGCCTGGGGGCCCTTCAATAGAAGAAGAAAAAACGCCATAAACTTTTGGCGCTCCGCGCGGAATTCTAGGATCCGCGCTGGGCCCCCCAAACTTTGGCGCGCGGAGCGCGCCAGGGGCGGCGCCGGAGGCGCCGCTGGAGGGCTCAACGCGGATCCAAGAATCCGCGCGGAGCGCCAAAAGTTTATGCTGATGTTTTTCTTGTTCTGATTATTGTTATTCGCAGTAATAATAGTATTATTATTCTTATTATCGTTAGTATCAGTATTCTTATGAATCGTATTATCATTATGGTTTTTCGTATGAGTATTATGTGTCTTAGTAATAGTAATATTCTGCTTAATATTGATATTATACTTTTCATGCTATTATCTGTATGAATATGATTATCCTTATTTTTCTGTTTCATCTTAGTATTCTTCTCCTTCGATTCAAAGGAGGCCTCGAACGCCACGATTTTCTCGGGACCCGGGGGGGTCTGGGGATGCTTGTGGGGACCCTTCAAAAGAGGGGCCTCGAACGCCCGCTGCACCACCCGGCAGCCAGCGCCGTCGAAGGCGAGCTCGGGCACGCGGCCGCGCACCGCCGCGAGGGCGGCGGCCCGGGCGGCGGGGCCAGCATCGAAGAGGGCCAGCAGCCGCGCGCAGGCCTGCAAAAGGCCAAGGGAAGGAGGGAGGGAGGAGGAGGAGGGGGAGGAGGGGGAGGATGAGGAGGAGGAGAAGGAGAAGGAGGAGGAGGAGGAGAAGGAGGAGGAGGAGGACTTGAAATGATGTGACTTAAGGAGCACCTTAAACCCCTACCACTCGACGTGAAACTACATGTGGTGTTGTGTGCCCATTGTAACGGCCCCCACAGGATACCCGCAGTGGCATTACGTTGACGCGCCCGCAACGGCAGGATGGCCGAGCTTCGGCCATCTATGCGGACTCAGTTCCCCGGATGCCTGGTTATGCCCTCGCTGTGAGGGTAGGGTGCCGATGAGTCCCCTGGAGACAGGGGCGGGCATCCTAGGTCTAGGCTCGAGGTTGTGGATGCCAACGCCCGTCAACCGACAGGGCTGGCCATCCAGGCCAAAGCTGGTTCCCGCAGGATACCAGGACTGGCAGACAGCTGGCCGAGCTCCGGCCATCTACGCGGATCAGTTCCCTCGAATGCCCAGCTGTGCCCTCGCTGCGAGGGTTTGGATGTCAGGCCAGCCAAAGACCAGGTGTAGATATTCTGGCTACAGGCTCGAGATGCCGGCGGCGCGCCGAAGGGGCCAGGGGGGGAACTGGGCAAGGCTGTCCAATGAGAAACGTGATCCACAGAACCCCGGAGGACGAAAGAGAAGTCCCCCCAGGGCTTCTGAGAAGCACCCAACCTGCTGAGAACCCTAATTCGCCCCGTCCTTCTGCCCCTTTCGGAGCGCCGCCTTTGGATGCCAACGCCTGCCCATCGACGGGGGGGGACCATCCAAACCAAATCTGGCCCCCGCGCGAGCGGCGCGCAGTTGCCGCGCCCGCAACGGCGGGATGGCCGAGCTTCGGCCATCCATGCGGACCAGGTTCCTCGGGCGCCTAGTTACGCCCCCGCTGCGAGGGCAGGATGCCGCAGGGCCCCCTGGGGATAGGGGCGGGCCTCCTAGCTCGATGCCCGAGGTCGTGGATGCCAACGCCTGCCCATCGACAACCGACAGGGCCGGCCATCCAAGCCAAAGCTGGCCCCCGCGGGGTCCCGGGACTGGCAGACAGCTGCCGCGCCCGCAACGGCAGCATGGCCGAGCTCCGGCCATCCACGCGGACCGGTTTCCTCGAATTCCCAGCTGTGCCCTCGCCGCGGGGGTTTGGATGTCAGGCCTGCCAGAGAACAGGTTTAGGCACCCTGGCTGTGGGCTCGAGATGTCGGCGGCGCGCCGACGGGGCCAAGGGGGGAAACTGGGCGCGGCTATCGAATGAGAAACGTCGTGATTCGCAGAACCCCCAGGAAAACGAAAGAGAAAGAAAACTCATCCCAGGGCTTTTTAGAAGCGCCCTGCTCGTTGAGAAGCCAAGCCCCGCCGCCCTGCCCCCTTCGGAGCGCCGCCTTTGGATGCCAACGCCTGCCCATCGACAGGGGTGGCCATCCAAGCCAAATCTGGCCCCACGGGACACCAGTAGTGGCATGCAGTTGGCGCGCCCGCAACGGCAGGATGGCCGAGTTTCGGCCAGGTTCCTCGGGCGCCCAATTCCGCCCTCGCCGCGAGGGCAGGGCGCCGCGGGGCCCCCTGGAGACAGGCGCGGGCTTCGTAGCTCCAGGCTCGAGGTCGCGGACGCCAACGCCCGTCAACGGACAGGGCCGTCCATCAAAGCCAAGGCTGGTTCCCGCGGGGCACCAGGACCGGCGGACAGCTGCCGCGCCCGCAACGGCAGCGTGGACGAGCTCCACCCATCCACGCGGACCAGGTTCCTCGAATGCCCAGCTGCGCCCTCGCTGCGAGGGTTTGGATGTCAGGCCTGCCGAAGACCAGGTTTAGGCACCCCCCGGTTGCGGGCTCGAGATGTCGGCGGCGCGCCGAAGGGGCCAGGGGAGAAACTGGGCAAAGCCATCCAATAAGAGACGCGATTCGCATAACCACTTGGAGGACGAAAGAGAGGTCCCCCCCAGGGTTTCTGAGAAGCACCCTGCCCGCTGAGAAGCCGAGCCCCGCCGCCCTGCCCCCTTCGGAACGCCGCCCGTGGATGCCAGCGCCTGTCCATCGACAGGGGTGACCATCCAAGCCAAATCTAGCCCCCCCGGGATAACAGCGGCGGCGAGCAAAGGCCGCGCCCGCAACGACGGGGTGGCCGAGCTTCGGCCATGTACGACCCCGGGTTCCGGGCCCACGGGCCCCCCCCCCCAGGTGGCATGGCCCCAGGATTCCTCGCCCCCCCCCCCAGATGGGACGGGGGGAGGACGACGACGACGACGACGACGACGACGACGACGGCGACGACGACGACGACGACGACGACGACGACGACGACGACGGCGGCGGCGGCGGCGGCGGCGGCGACGACGAAGATGCCCGCTGCAGCACCACGCCACACCCAGAGGGAGGCACACTGAAAGTAAGGCAGTTTTCGTCGTGCCGAGGACGCAATCGTTCCGCCCCGTTTAAACTGCGGGCGCACGCCAGATTCAGCGCGCACATGACTTCATCGGAAGAGGCCAACCCAAACTGATTACGGCTGTTTTGCACGATTACAGATTGGCACCTCCCCTCCGTCAAGTGTAGCAGTTTTACGTCATGCCTGGGACGGCGATGCATATGCCGATGCCAATGCTGATGCTGACGCTGTCGTCGTCGTCGTCGTCGCCGCCGCCGCCGCCGCCGCCGCCGTCGTCGTCGTCGTCGTCGTTCGTCGTCGTCGTCGTTGTCGCCCACAGGGGGGCCACCGCCGCCGCCGGTGGAGGGCCACCGCGCCACGCCCACAGGGGGGGGGGGGGCATCGCGCGGGGGGGGGGGGGGGGCGATGGCATTAGTATTGGGGGAGGGCCAATCCCTGGACCATATATGCGGACCAGGTTCCTCGGGTGCTTAATCGCGCCCTCGCGGCGAGGGCGGGCTGCCGAAGGGCCCCCTGGAGGCAGAACTGGCCCCCCACAGGGCATCGGCACTGCCAGGGTTGGCCGCGCGAGCCAGAGCTGGCACCCACTGGGTGGGCACTTTCGTTCTGTCAGGAGGGATAAAGCTCTACATAGCTACCCTAGAGCCCCATTGCACAACAGAGAAGGATGCACATAATTGTCGGGGCCCTCACTCACTTGCACCGCCGTAGCATCTCCAGGGAGGCGCTCTCCAAAGCGATTGCTTCAGCAAGGAATGAACTGATCGGGTTCTCGAAATAGATTCCGGCTGCGACTATGGGGACACACTTGTCCACGGCATTGTTGTCCAGCACCGCAATAATTAACCATGCGCAAGCTGGACATGTCGCCCGTGTTCCACCATCTGAGGATATCACAATACTGCTGCGCGGTGGGATGTCAAAGTTACGCTCTTCCCTCCAGGCGCCTTTGACGACGTCCATGGTGCGATTGCAAAGGTGATCAGCCATTGTGTTCTGGCTCCGGTTGACCCAGCGCACCGGGTCACTAGCACCTTCCGGCGGCAGCCTGCCACAAGAGACGACTTCGCAGGTGTTGTCAACGATGCGATGAACGAGCGGTCTACAGCTGTCGATTAGCAAATCCATGCGGCCGCATACGATGCGCTGCAGTGGCTGGCAATCGATGGCGAGAAATCTGGTTGGCAACGCATCCCAATGTATATCCATCCCTTGGTCGACAGCAGGTTCTTCGACGCGTTTCTGGTCTGAACGTCTGGCAGATACTTCCGACACGGCTTGGCGACGCGGTCGAAGCTGAAACTTCCACGCATCGCAAACGGCACCGGCAAAGGATCTGTAGGTGGCGTTCCAGTCGGCTTGGTGAGCACACTCCTCTCTCAGATGCCTCCACTGCTCTCCAAGATGCACTACCAAAACGTCATCCAATTCACTGATGCAACCAAGACGGCCATGGGCCCAATTTTCGGCACGCCGTCGCTTGAGCGGCGCCTGTTTGACTTGACACATACCCACTGTGCCCGGCTGCGCTGCACCCTCAAGTCTGAGAGCAGGCTGCCGTGCTCTGCCCGCGCCACCACACGCTCCCGCAATGCACCTGTGTGGATAGATTTGAGGATACGTTCATGGAGCACTGTTGTACTCGAAGCAGCGAAACATTGGGCAATCTTCTTGCTCGCGCGCACGTCGCATTGCATGGTATCTTCGTCGGGACGGCGCCGGAGCCGCAAAAGTTTGCGAACCCAGCGCAACTCCCATCTCCGGATGCGCTGGAGCAGGCCCTTGTTCAGCGTCCACGCTGAACAATCAAAGCTCGCGCCCGCAACGGCAAGATGGTCGATTTAGGGCCATCTAGGCGGGCCCTGTCCTTCGAATGTCCAGCTATGCCCTTGCTGCGAAGGTAATTGTGTCAAGTCTGCCATAAGACAAGCTCACATCCCCGCTGATGGGCTCGATTTCTGATGGCAACGCCTGTCCATCGATAGTAAGAGATGGCCATCGAAGCCCAATCTGGCCCCCGCGGGATGCCAACAGTGGCATGCAGTTGCCACGCCCGCCGCGGCAGGGGGACCGAGCTTCGGCCATCCTCGCGGACCAGACTCGTTGGTCTCTCAGCTGGGCTCTCGTCGCGAAGGCAGGATGCCAAAGCTTGCCCGGGGACAGGGCTGGCAATCCAAGCTGTGGATGCCAACTCCTGTCCAGCGACAGGGCTGACCATCGGAGACTCAGCTGGTTCACCATGAAGTACAGCATCCTGTATTGGCCATCTACAGCGCTGGCCCTGAAATTGCCGCGCCCGCAACGGCAGGCTGGCCGAGCTTCGACCATCTACGCGGACCAGTTACCTCGAATGCCCTGCATGTGCGTGCTAGCTGCGGGCTCGAGGTGGTTGATGCCAACCCCTGTCATTCTACAGGAATGGCCATCCAAGCCCGAACTGGTCCCCACATAATTCCAGCAGTGGCTTTGTTGCCGCGCCCGCAACGGCAGGAAGGCCGATTTCCGGCCATCTTTGCGGACCAAATTCCCTGGAAAAGGGGTTACGCAAGGGTGCTCGTCGAGTTCCAAGAACTCTCAGTGGCGC